TGGTGCGAAAGCAAACGGTCTTGGGAAGCATGACCTTCTCCGTTGCTTGTGAAGTCCATCCCGAAAGCCTCCCAAACCCGAATCCTTTACATTGAGATGGTTGAATCACGACTTTATGACTATGGCGATCCTTATCTCTCATCTTTCATTTCTATAAAGACTGCTGTTTGATCGCTGCCAGTATGTTCCCCCCACTGTCAAGCCAAAGTCTTGGAGCCGCGCTCCACCACCCAAGCCGAGACCCATACACTTCTCCGTCTTCCCTCTGCCCTCAACCCCAAGCCCTAAACCCTAAACCCTAAACCCTAAACCCTAAACCCCAAGCCCTAAACCCTGCGCCCTAAACCCTAAACCCTAAAACCCTAAACCCTGAGCTTATCAGGGGCCTCTGTGCAGGATCCCTTCTTCAACACTTTGGTCCGGATCATGACGACCAGGCCAGGGCTCCGAAAGCCTTGTGGCTTTGGTGCTTCGGGTCTCGACCCCGGGCCTCGGCCCCCACCTTTCGCCCTGAACCGGCTCTTACGGTTTACTTAGAGGATCAGGGGACTTGGTAAGTAGGGTTATAAGTAATCCTAAATAGGGCTATAAGTAGATATAACCATAGTTACCTCACTTATATCCCTACTTACTAAGTCCCATGATCCTCCAAGTAGGGTTTAGGGTTGAAGCTCTGACTTACAGAAGGGTCTTGAGCATGGCGTGGGACTGAGATTCCACTGCCCTGTAGCAGATTTTCGAGCTCAGAAAGGTCTCAGAGGTTTCGAGCACAGCCTGAAACACTGCATCTGAAACTTGAAAACCCTGAAGCACTGGAGCACCCTAGATCCCCAAACGCCCCAAGGTCGAAGATGGGCATGATGGGCCTATCAAACCAATTGAGTCCTGATGGCCCCCATACTACAGAAGAAACGCTGCTAGACTCTAAGACGAAGCGCAGGTGTATGAACCAGGCCGTCTATTTCTGCACTGGTGAAGTGCAGCCGGCGCTCTACAGCCACTACGGCCTGGCCATGGAGCGCCCTTCGGCACCAAAATATCCCGGCGTTTTGGTGGCTGGTGTTTTTTGGGTTTTGGGTTTTTGGGTTTGGGGTTTTGGGGTTTTGGGTGAGTCGGGGATACTGCTGCTTTGTTGGTTTGAAGGTTGTGTGGGTTTCTAGACTTGGGGATGCTGGCCTTATTAGTGAGGTTTTGTATACGGTCGGAGGACAGGTGTGGTAAGAAACTCGCAGCGCCATTTCAAACGAAAGTGCATCGTCCCTTCCCACACCCTGCCCAGCACTTAGGCTACACGCACTTCACATCGCCGATCCGTCGCTACGCCGATGTCTTGGCGCATCGGCTGCTGGCCGCCTCTCTGGGACTGATCCCCTTACCGGAGCAGCTGCAGTCCAAGGCTTGACATGGGCTCTCTGAGGGTTCAGGCTCTGGGTCAAAGTTTCCTGGATTCTGGTGCAGGCAACAATCTCCGAGCAGTGCGACAAGATCAACGCGGCGCCGCTGCACTGGTACCGCCTTTCTGCATGCCTTTGCCTCTGCCCAGCGTCTTCTGGCGTGCATCCTTGCAGCCGAGGTGAAGCATCGCATGTCGCAGTTTGCCAGCCGAGCATCGGCGGACTTGCACACTTTCATGCTCCTAGCCCTGCAAGGAGATTCCGCAGAGAAGATCGTGTGTAAAGACTAGCAACTCCCGAGCTCTGAGCAGAAAAGCTTGCCGAGGTTCTTCAACAAGAAGGCCCGGTTCTGCGAAGATGAAGCGGAGCTTGATGTAGACTGTAGGAGTTCAATTGTTGAGTTCAGAACACTCTGAGTCCCGAAACTCCGAAATCTGAGACTCTGGTTTCGGCTTCACACCCAGACCCGACAGCCCCTGAATCCCCGAACAAGACCCAAACCCTGAGTCTCTGAAGCTACCTGCCTCACGCGCCCCAACACTTATATATATATATATATATTAATTAATATACTAAGATATTAAGATATTAACATATCTATATATATATATATATATATGTATATATATATATATAATTAACCTTCTTCTCCAAACTCCCAAGTTCGCTTGGCAGGGCCAGCAGTCCGCAGAGGCCGTGGTCACGCGAATACGTCGATCCGGGATGCAGGCCGCTCGAGCTGCGTCTGCTCGACACGTCGAGGACCTTGGAAGGAAAGTGGCTAGTTGTACCTACACGCTGACATGAGCACGAAGACAGGACGTCTACGACACTAACACGATGTGATCGCACGAAGCAGAACAGCGCACCGAACTTTAGCTTGCACAAACTCAAGGTGTAGAGTGTGGTTGTTCGCGCTTCGATCCCAATAGCATTCATGTTATGAAAGTGCAAGACGAGCAAGGGGCAGGAGCATTCGCGTAGAAGTACTGAGGCAGGAGCAAACACAATCCAGTCACAAGAACGAGAAGTGCCCTGTACCGACACCAACTGCAGTAGCAAGACTTCTGGTACTAGCAGCTTACCACCAGTGCGGTTGGAATCAGTTGCGAGCTTTAAATTAAATCCAATCGAGTACTAATTAGCAGGCATCGTAGATATTCATGGTATTTACAGCAATGGTCGCAAACACGGTAGTGAACACAGGAACAGAAAGGCCACGTGAAACTTCCAGTCGTACTGAAGGCAGCATCATTGATTATAGTACAAGTAGTCGAACTCAAGAACCCCCCAAAAAACAAGAACACAGCCAACACTAAGTCTTGCACTGCAGGTCAACGTGCCCCGTTACGGCATCGAAGGCGTTGTGGCAATGCCGGAGGCATCTCCGAACTCTGCAATCGGTAGTAGTTTCCAGGCGCAACCCTGAACTGTAGGCTCTATTAAACTCCCTAGGCCTTTTTTTACCTACACCCTGGGCCCAAGCTCGTAGTATATGTATTCTTGTTGTCCTTGTCAGCAGATCCTGGATCTCCCAAGCTGGAGGAGGAAGATCCTCTGCTAGGGAGACCCCGAAGACCCACTCACGTCACACCCTTGAGCCTACACCTTGCATCACGGTGACAACGATGGTGAAGATGAAGATGAAGATGACGACGACGACGACGACGACGACGACGAGGATGATGATGATGATGATGATGATGATGATGATGATGCGAGAGTCCGGGAGTTTGCACACGTTTCAACCAGCATTTTGGGGTTGTGTTGCAGCTTTGGTGTCCGAAGCACTGAGCTGAGGAGGAGTGGGAGGTGCGTGAGGAGGAGCAGTGTATCCTGAGCAAGAGCCAGGCTGGGAGCTCGAGAAGAGTAGAGCTGGTTTTAGGGTTTGGGTTGCTGCTTTTATTTGTTAGGGTTCCTTTTTATAATTATGGTATACTATACCCCAAACCCTATTCTAATTATAGGGTGTTTTCGGGGGTTTCGGGCTTTGGAGGTTTACTGGCTGCTTGGGGCTGCGAGCTCGAAGCCCTTCATCGAAGATTTGAGCTTGCACCTCTCGAATCCCATCCCAGAACCCGAAGCAGGGTTTTGCTGAGGGTTCTACACGACGTGATACAGGGGACTCAGGGCGGATGCTAAGTATGGGCAGCTCGAAGCGGGTTTACTTTTCCAGGCTGATGTGAATCCAAGATAATCCCAGCCAGCGCTCACCCCACCGGGTTAGTCGGGACCGCGAAAGGATTCAAACACGGTGCCAGTACCCGATTGGCCTGAACGACAGGCAGGTCTCCGGATTGACATCTTCGCACACATCAAGGCTGGCGGGGTGCTCATCGTTTTTCTGTGGTGGAGTGTTCGTTTCTTCCAGCACCTGGTAAGTTGGACTTTTTGGGCATTTGGCACTCCTGGCCCTGGGGAGGTCAACATCGAGTCCGACAATTCCGACTTCCGGAATCGCACTCACATCCGCTTCGACCGCGTCATCCTGGAATCGGAATGCGTGGGACCCAGCGAAAAGCCCGAAGACTCTGCACCCCAAGCGCCAGAACCTAGACCTTAAGCCCTGAAACTTGCAACGTAAACCTACCCTGCACGTTGCCCGACAGCATAAGCCGAAACCCTACACGCTCAACCCCACAGAATGCCGTCAGCATCCCCAGGCGAGCAGTACGCGACCGTGGAGGCCGCGAGGAAGCAGGTCCAGGAAGAGATGTTCCCTGACTTGCGACTTGGGCAAAGATTACGGCTGGCTGGCTTTCTGTCCACGCTTTTGGTCCGGCTTTCGATGATGGATTCCAAGGATTGAGCGCGAGGCCAACTAAGCTCCTGGCGAAGGGAGAAAAGAGCTGTGACGTGCGAGGATGTTTGGCCGGATCAAGGTTCACAATCATGCCAGCATCTGACTGCTGCTGCTGCAGCTGCTGCTGTGGCTACTGCTACTATTACCACCACCACCACCACCACCACCACCACCACCACCACCACCACCACGGCTGCTGCTACTGCGACCACTGCATTGAACTCTCAACCCCAAACTGGACATCGAAAAGCCTAAGGTCCGAAGGGTCTAGACCAGAAAGCCCTGAGGCCCCAACACCCTCAAAGCTCTGAGCCCGACGCCCCGAAGCCAAAACTTTACACCCCAAGCCCTAAAGCTCTAAAGCTCGACTCCACTAAACTCCAAAACACCCAAACCCCAAATCCCAAACCTGAAGCTCTAAAGCCATCAAGATCTCAACATGCTACAAACCCTGGTGCAAAGCCCGCTTCAAAACCCGAAAGCCTGAACCATGCCAAAGCCCTGAAGACTCCGAAGCACAAAACCCCAAACCAACACAGGGCCCCCCGAAACCCTAAACCCTAAACCCTAAACCCCCCACACACCGTATTGCTATGAAGCCGAAACCCAAAGGCCCCAAAGCTGACTCGCCTTTCAAACCACAGTTTGGTACCGAAAGTTGCGCCGCAATCAGCCCGATATTAAGCCACCTTATAGAGCCGTCGAAAGAACCTTGTTGGGAGCCCTTGAAGGAGCCCTATACGGACTGAGCCCTAAACCCTAAAACCCCCCCGTCCCCTCCCACCTGGTGGGCTAAACGAGAGGAGCGCGAGCTCCTGGCAGAGGACGAGTCTTTGCTCCAGCGCCTTGAAGAGCTGCCCCAGCCTCGGGAGCCTCTCTTGTTTTGTTGTTGCTTTGTAGTTTATTGATTCAAATTTTGGTTTTGATCCCCCGTTTTTTTAAAGACTTGGTGCTAGTGCAAGTTGTGTTTGTTTTAATTTGTTTTCGGGTTTGGGATTTGGATTTTGCTTAGGTTTCCCTTGTAGAGATGGCTTGTGTACGTTTGGTGTCGTGGGGTGGGGATCCCAGACGGCTTTTTGTTTTTTTAGGGTTCAGGCTTCAGGCCTTCAGGGTGCTTTGTTGTTCCGTCAGCAGAGGATCTCAACGCCTTCCTGAGTCTTACTTGGTCCAGGGAATAATAACAAGAACGGTACTAATGGGTTTAGGGTTTAGGGTTTAGGGTTTAGGGGTGGTGCTCATCAGAGCTTGTTCCGATAAGCATTTAGTTGTAAGGGGAAGGCTCGAAGGTGTAGAGTCATGGGTTTGTCGTTCAAGTTCGGGGCTTGGCTTTGTTGTTTTGGGTCTAACACGGACAGAGAGCTTTCGGCGGGTTATGGGGTCTAGGTCCATAGGTTCTTAGAGAAGGGTTTCAGGCGCTTCAGGGTTAAAAGTGGTTGTTGGGTGTGCATTCTGGGGTTTAGGGCAATCTTTAATCGATCTCGTCGTTCAGTGGTGTTTTGCATGTGTAGGGTTCGTGAGACGGAGAAGATGACTGCAGAGCCTTGAATCCTTGGAAGCACCCCTAAACCCTCAACCCAAAATCCTCAACCCAAAACCCTCAACCCTAAGGCCTAAACCCTAAACCGGAAAGTCAGCCTCAGGTTGGAGAAGCACCTGGCAGTCTTGGCCGGATTCGGCTGCGGGCCCAGGGTCTGGAGAGTCGCAGCAGGGTTCTGAGCTGGCAGTCTCGCACACTTTTATGCTTTCCTTAACCCACCAGAACCAACTTTTTTTGTAGGGTCCCTATAAATCCCATATTATGGTTTATAATACTAACCTACAAAAAAGTGGGTCTTGGTAGGTGAAGGTTTATAATGCCTGTCAAAAACAACGTGGGGGAGGAATCACTTGCCAGGAGAGAATGGCCCAGAAGCCCAGCCGCAGCTGGGCTGCAATAGTCCCTCAACCCTAAACCCTAAA